CCCCCCCATGTCCCCTTGTCTCCACCCCAGCCCACCAGGATGCAGGACCCTGTGCCCCCCACCCCCCATGTCCCCTTGTCTCCTCCCCAGCCCACCAGGGGGCAGGACCCTGTGCCCCCCCAACCCCCCGTGTCACCATATGGCAGGATGCTTGGTTTCCATGTGCCATCAGCTGCCTGATCCACAGGGCCTGCCTGCGTGTCCCAAGTCCTGACCTGTGTCCTTGCTTCCAGGATAACCTGGTCTTTGTCGTGGGCAAGCTGGATGGGCTGATGGTGGTTGGAGTTCGTAGACACAGTGCGGATGACATCGTGGCCACAGCGCTGGCCGTGGAGCCCATGAAGTTTGTCTACAGAGGCAGGTGATGCGCTGCGGCCCTGTACTATGGCTCTAGACCCCTTCTCTCCTTGAAGTTTGAGAATCTGTCTGCAGTAGAAGCAAAGCCCAGTGATTGGAATACATAAAACCTAAAAATTCCTGTTCATCAGAAAATCTTCACAAAGAAAAGGACGATCTTTGCAGCCAGGAGCCCATTAGTGTCCTCACTGCCCACAGGGCTCATGTGGTTCTTTAAGAGGATGAGGTCCAAGGAGCACCTGCTTTAGGACCCTGGAACCTCAGACATGCAGATTGAAACAGTCAAGGACCAGTTTCTCTGAATCACCAAAGGTCAATTCTCTTTTCTACTGAGTTTAGCGAGACACACGGAGGGCCCTACCTCGCTCCTGGGATGAGCAACTATTCAACTTTTCTGAATGTGTTAGGCAAGCACTTTCTGACCCTGGGCAACTGGGGGTGAAGAGGGAAGCTGTGTCTGGCTCTCTTCAGCTCCTGAGCTCTTTGTCCTGAAGGAAGCATCCCCTTCTCCTAGCTGGCCCACCCAGCTGGCTGCGTTTTTTAATTTTCTTCTTCTCAAGGGGGTGCTTAATTACTCAAACTAGGGTACCTGTGAGCCTGGCCAGACCCTGCCTTTGAATATTCCTTAAAGAAATCGTTAGGGAGTTCTGTCAAAGAGTGTGTGCTGCTGGCCCTTCTCGTAGGTCGGGATGACAGGGGTATGGGATGCCTACCAAGGAGAAGCCAGCAAGGCAGGCCTGTGTGGGTGCCTGAGCGGGGGCTGCCAGGACCTCGTGACCTGCCCTCACAGCAGAAACAGGACACTGTTGGTGTGGGTGTCCGTGGGGATAATGTCAGGGTGGCCAACACCTGCTTCTGGGGTAGATTAGGGAGGCCCCCAGGACCTGACAGTACCTGGAGGTGCAGGCCCTTCCTGAGCAGGCAGCTGACAAGGTGACGCCATCGTGAGTGATTAGTGGGGGTGCCAGTGATTGATTGCATCAGCCATTGGCCGGGGTACCTGCCTGTCCCCACCACCACACCCACCTTGAAATAGAGCCACAGGGGCGACTGGGTGGCTCAGTCAGTTAAGTGTCTGACTCTTGATTTCAGAGTCCAGCTCAGGTCATGAACTCAGGGTCGTGAGATTGATCCCTGCATTGGGCTCTGCACTGGGCACGGAGCCTACTTAAGACTCTTTCTCTCCCTCTGCCCTCTGCCCCTTCCCTGCTTGTGCTCACTCACTCGCTCTCAAAAAAAAAAATAAAATAAAATAGAACTAGAGCCATGGCCGATAGAGTGTGTATGCTAGAGGAAGCCGGACATCTCAGGAATATTATAACGCACACAAAATGAGTCCTTTGTTCTTAGACACAAACACAATAGATGGAATAAATAGCAGGATAGACCAGCTAGAGAAGGAAGTGATAAACTGGAAAGTCAGATTAAGGAAGTACTCCAGAGGTTAAAAAAAAAAAAGTTTAAAAAACCAAGGAAGGGTTGGCATCGAGATAGCAGACCCGGGGGGAGGGCACATGCGTGGAGGGGAGGGCAGCGTCTGGGCAGCAGGAGGCTGGGTTTGCGGGACTCAAGAAGGGTCTGGCATCGGGATCAAGCAGAAGGCATGAGACTCCCCAGTGCTGGGGCCAGCTCCAGAAGGTGGCAGTGCAATGATGTTTTTAAGTTATTAAAAGGAATTTTTAACTTAGATTTTATGTTCATCCCAATTGTCACCTAATTGTGCAGTTGTAATAAAAATATTCTTGGGATACTGAGAGAGACCCATTCAAGATGCATGAAAGCAAGGGAAATTTAGTACTGGGTAAAGTGTGTGTGTGCGCCCATGTGCACACCAGCCGGAGGGGAGAACGAGAGAAAGCAAGTGCGTCCATGAGGGCCCAGAGCTGGGGCAGTGGGTGTGTGACGTGCTGGGCTCCATGGGGGGACCAGCTTCTTGTCCCATAAGGAGGAAGAGAACCACCTCCAAGTGTAAGAGGCAACAGGCAGTAAATACAGAGAAACGGAGAGCGCTGAAATCCCTAAAGTGAGGTGGGAGAAACAAGTCCACTGACACCACAGTAAACACGAGGACATGAACACATTAGTGAAAGAGATTTAACCGTAAGATTAAACAATACACCTGATAGTATTTCTAGACAAAGATTTTTGCACAAAGAAATGTCGCACGTGCATTAACATTATAATTAAGAAAAATTTTCTTTTAAGATCTGTGCCTGGTTGTTTTGCTTTGCACCGAGTCCTCTTTGTTTTATCGAATTGGAACTTATTTCAGCCGTACTGTAGGAGACTAGGGACTGTCACTTCTCCAGGTCTCAACAAGCAGCCCGTGGTTAGATTGTCTTTTCAACACGAGCACGTCTGCACCCTCCGTTTCAAGGGAGAGGAAGCATCTGCGTCCTGTTTGGTGTCCTTTGCAGGGTGGTCATTTTTGTCCTCGTCTTCCCCCAGGATTGCTGTGTTCTCCGTGACGGTGCTGCATGATGACAGGATCGTCCTTGTGGCTGAGCAGCGGCCAGATGCCTCTGAGGAGGACAGCTTCCAGTGGATGAGCCGCGTGCTGCAGGTGGGCCCCGGCGGCTGGCGCCTGTCTCTGCGAGTGTGGTTCCGACGAGTCCGGGTGCACGGGGGTCGCGTTCCCTTCCTTCAGAGCCCGGCCTGCCTGCCCCTGTCTCCAGCTCAGTGCCAAGCAGCCCAGATGTCCAGTCGCCCCACACAGGATCACAGGCTTGATTACTGAGAGTTGCAGCCTTCCTCCACCCTGTGCTGCCTGCACACAGTAGGCGCTTAAGAAATTGGGCTTCGTAAAGATAAGGGAACAGCATTTTGAAACTAATTCCGTACGAGGGTTAGTGTGTCCTAAAACAGCAGTCCCGTGACTCTCCTGTCGATTAGGATGGTATCCATTGAGACTGTTACTTAGATTCGGACCAGGCCATGGCCACAAGGGCACCGGGGGTCTGAGAGCTTGTTATGACAATGTCAGAGCTAGAGCGAAGTGGAAAGCATGGTGCGGAAAGTTCTAGTACCCATCTCTAGGTTCTGCAGTGGCTGACACGTCCTCCCACTTGCTCGTCACACCTCTGTCCCTTGGCCCACTGCTCAGGGCACGCTGTGGGGTGCCACCTTCCCCTGCACCGCATGGTGGCCCTCATTTCTTTAAATACTGAACTGGAGTCCAGCATACTATTTTGGGGGGAAGGAAGTAAAATTTACATTCAGTAAAGTGCACAAACAGTGTGCTGTGCAGTAGGGGATTTTCAGTTGGCTTGATGGGATGCAATTTCTATGTAGAATGAGCCCATCTGTAAGTGTGCAGGCGCTGAGTTTTGACAACAGTGTGCACCATGGTAATGCAGACAGAGGATCTCCGCCGTGCCGTGGTTCTCCCATGTCCCCCACCACTGCCGCACTGCCCGGCCCGAGAGCCACTGGTCGGCTGCGTGTCCGCACGCGTGAGTGGCACGGCGTGTCTCCCTTTCTACCACTTTACTCTAGGTGAAGGGAATCACACAGTGTTTGCCGTTCTGTCTGGCTTCCTTCCCTCAGCATGGTTTTGAGATTCCTCGTGTCGTTGTTGGCCGAGTTGGGTTTCTTATCTATTCCCATCCTGATGGACGTTTGGGTTGCCAGTTTCTGACTGTTATGAATAAAGCTGCTGTGGGCAATGGTACAAATCTTTGGGTGAATTTCCTCTGGTACCCTGCCATCTCCAGGCCAGTTGTGTGGACTGGCATGAAGCTGGTAGAAACAGGCGTAGAGCTGTCCATGCGTCAGGGAGACCAGGCGGCCCTGAGCTTCAGAGTAGTGTTTTCCCACTAGTATCTCACAACATTTATTTTTAATAAAATTTGTGATGTCTTATTATGGAATATTTCTAACACAACAAACAAGAAGAACAGTGTAATTGATGTGGGAAACAGAGGCAGAAGGAAATGTAGATAAAAGTAAATGTCCTTATAACCTGCAGCCCGTTGACGAATACTCGAGGCGGGCAGAGTGTAACATTCCTCCAGGAAGATCCTGTCTTAATGTTGATGCCTTGTTAACAGGGAAAAACAACCCTAGCTTGACAAGAGCCAGGCCTCTGGTATCCTGTGAGTCTTCTTCAGTAGGTCCAAGTCCTTTTGGACACCTCCCTTTTCCTTCCCTCCCCCAACTCTCAAGCATATGATCAGCCACCCCTCACAACCCCGGTGCAGCAGATCCTTCTGCCCACGGGTCCTGTCCCCCCGGTCCCATCCCTGGGCTTTAATAAAACCACCTTTTTGCACCAAAGACGTCTCAAGAATTCCTTCTTGGCCGTCGGCTCTGGACCTCACCAACCTCACCAACATTCGAAAACTACATCATAATAACCCCATGTTCCCATCACCCTGTTCAACAGTTATCAACCCAGGTCCTGACTGTGTCCCTGCCTGGCCCTCCCCTTTCTCCCTTAGGAGTGTTTTGAAGTAAATGCCAGACATCGCATTTTATCTGTGAAGATTTTATTATTTCTTTAAACAAGGAATACCATTATCACATCTCTAAGAATTAACAATAATGTTCTTACGTTTTAAAAATTGAGATATAATTGGGGCGCCTGGGTGGCTCAGTCGGTTAAGCACCTGCCTTCAGCTCAGGTCATGATCCCAGAGTCCTGGGATCGAGTCCCACATCAGGCTCCTTGCTCAGGGGGGAGCCTGCTTCTCCCTCTACCCCTCCCCCCTGCTCGTGATCTCTCTCTCTCTCTGTCTCTTGGATAAATAAATAAAATATTTTTAGAAGTTGAGATATAGGGGTGCCTGGGTGGCTCAGTCGTTAAGCATCTGCCTTCGGGGGGCGCCTGGGTGGCTCAGTCCTTCAGCATCTGCCTTCAGCTCAGGTCATGATCCAGGGTCCTGGGATCGAGCCCCTCATCGGGCTCCCTGCTCAGCAGGAAGCCTGCTTCTCCCTCTCCCTCTGCCTGCTGCTTGTGTTCCCTCTCTCGCTGTCTCTCTCTCTGTCAAATAAATAAATAAAATCTTAAAAAAAATTTTTAAAAATTTAAAAATTGAGATATAATTGACATATAATACTAATTTCAGGTGTACAACATAATGATTTGATATTTATATCTACTGTGAAGTGATCACAATAAGTCTAGTAGACATTCATCATCATACCTAATTACAAGTCTTTTTCTTGTGATTGAGAACCTTTAAGGTCTACCCTCTCAGCAGCTTTCAGAGGGGTACAGGACAGCTTTTTACCTCTGGTCACCGTGCTGCGCACTACATCCCCAGACTCTGTTTTGTAACTGGAGGTTCGTGTCTTCTGACACTTTCTCCCATTCTGTCCCCCCACCCCCACCTCTGTCAGCCACCAGTCTGTTCTCTGTATCTCAGCTCAGTTTCAAGATTTCACGTGTAAGTGAGATCACGCGGGACGTGTTTTTCTCAGACTGACTTATTTTGCTTACACCCTCGAGGTCCATCCACGTTGTCACAAATGGCAAGATCTCGTTCTTCTTTACGGCTGAGTAGCATTCCATTGTGTCCACACCGCGTGTTCTTTATCGGTCCCGTCAGTCCGTGGACACACGGGCTGCTTCCATAACTTGGCTATTGTAAATAATGCTGCATTAAACATAGGGGTGCATTTATCTTTTTGAATTAGTGTTTTTGGTGGGTTTTTTGGGGTAAATACCTAGTAGCACAGTTGCTGGATCGTAGGTAGTTCTATTTTTAATTTTTTGAGGAGCCTCCATACTGTTTTCCAGAGTGGCTGCACCAGTTTGCATTCCCACCAACAGTGTGGGAGGGTTCCTTTTCCTTCATATCTTGCCAACACCTGTTGTTTCTTGTGTTGTTGATTTTAGCCATTCTGACAGGTATGAGGTGATACCTCATTTTTTAAAATTTACATTTTCCTGATGATTAATGATGTTGAGCACCTTTTCATGTACCTGTTGAGTATATGTATGTCTTCTTTGGAAAAATGCCTATTTGGATCCTCTGCCCATTTTTTAATTGGATTGTTTGTTTTTGCCATTGAGTTGTGTGAGTTCTTTATATATTTGGGATATTAACCCCTTATCAGATATATGATTTGCAAATATTTTCTCTCACTCAGTAGGTTGCCTTTTCATTTTGGTAATGATTTCCTCTGCTGTGCAGAAGCTTTTTTGTTTTATGTTTGCTTTCATTGCTTTTGCTTTTGGTGTCAGAGCCATAAAATCATCAAAAAGACTTGTGTCAGGGAGCTTACCACCTATGTTTTCTTCTAGGAGTTTCATGGTTTCAGGTCTTATGTTCAAGTCTTTAACCAATTTTGATTTTATTTTTGTGGATGGTGTGAGAAAGTGGTCCAGTTTCATTCTTTTGCATGTAGCTGTCCAGTTTTCCCAGAACCGTTTATTGAAGACAGTCCTTTCCCCATGGTATATTCTTGTCTCCTTTGTCACAAAGTAATCGACCGTATGTGCTTGGGTTTATTTCTGGGCTCTCTATTGTATTCCATTGATCTGTATGTCTATTTTTATGCTAATACCATACCATTTTGGTTACTAAAACTTTGTAATATAATTCAAAATCATGAAGTGTGATGCCTCCAGCTTTGTTCCTCAAGTTTGCTTTGGCTACTCAGGGTCTTTTTTTGGTTCCCTACAAATTTTAGGATGATTTGTTTTAGTTCTGTGAAAAATGCCATTGGAATCAGGGATTATACTGAATCTGTAGATTACCTTGGGTAGAATGGACATTTTAAAAATACTAATTCTTCCAATCCACGAGCATGGCATGTCTATTTCTTTGTGTCTTCAATTTCTTTCATCACTGTCATAGTTTTTAGTGTATAGGTTTCTTACCTCCTTGGTTAAATTTATTTTATTTTATTATTTTTGGTGCAACTGTAAATGGAATGGTTTTCTTAATTTCTCTTTCTGATGGCTCATTCATTAGACTAGTGTACAGAGACACAACAGATGTTTCCTGTGATTTTACTGGATGTATTTATCAGTTCTAACAGTTTCTGGTGGAGTCTTAAGGGTTTTCTATATATAAGATCATGTCATCTGTAAATAGTGATGGTTTTACTTCTTCCTTTCCAATTTAGATGCCTTTTATTTCATTTTCTTGCCTTATTGCTGTGGCTGGGACTTCTAGTTCCATGTACTTATTCCTGATCGTAGGGGGGAAAGTTCTCAGCCTTTTACCATTGAGAATGGTGTTGGCTGAGGGTTTGTCAAATATGATCTTTCTTACATTGAGGTATGTTCTCTCTATACCTGCTGTGTTCAGAGTTTTTATCCTAACAGTAATTTCTTGTTGTAATTCAATATCTAGTCACTATTCAGACTCTCTGATTATCTAATGTTTAGTTTGTTTGATTCAGGATCAAAATGAAGTAAAAAAAAATTGTGCTTGGTGAGGACAAGTTCTTTAAGTCTTTCTTAATCTACAGATTCTTCCTCTGTCATAGTTTTCTTGTGGTTAGTTTGTGGACAAAAACAAGTTGTTTGTCCAGTATGTTTCTTTAGCCTAGGCTCTGAAGATTGTGTCTCAGATCTATCATTCAATACAGGCGTCTGTCGCCTGTGGTCATCCTGTACATTGTGGTTGGATCAGACTCAGGTTCAGTTTTCTGGCAAAAATTCCTCCTGGAAGGTGGCATATGATTCTGGCTGCCTCTGTTCACCACTCCTGGGGTCACTGATCTGTTAGGACTTCACAGCGGAGCTACCCTGATTATGAAGGCTCACCGGAGCAGCCTTGAAAGTTTCTCCTCTGGAGAGCGCATGCCCTCCTCAGTCACCCAGGGGCCTGGAGGCAGGCTGTGTAAGAAAACAAGATCAAGGATTGATTTCAGAGTAGTAAGGTGGTTTCTTAGAATCCTCTTCAAGTGACCATGAGTTTTGTTTATTTGTTTCATTAAGAACTAGTGGATGCAAACATACTGGACGTGATTCAGTCTATTATAGTTTTTTTTATTTTTCAGTGGTTAGTGGGAGCCCCTTCAGGTTGGCTCTTGAGTCCTTCTGATGTACTCCTGGAATTCTTTGAGGCCATAGTAGAGATGAGGAAGCTCAGATACTTGGGGGAAGGCAGTGTGTTTTGCATCCTAGACCTGTCATGGCCAGGACCCTAGGGACCTTGCTACTTCCTAGGGGAAATGGAATTGGGGAACCACCATCTGGGCACTTGATGTTGCTGGCTTCTTCACTGTTTCTGGGCTTTCTTCACTGGACAGAGTAGGAAATGATGTCTCTTTGTAAGAGTACCTACATCATGAGTTTATGCTGCTGGTTCCAGCTCAAATTCAAGACCACAAAATTTTTAAACTCACTGATTCCTTGCTCCCACACTGAAAAATTGCAGACATCAACAACTCATCAGAGAATCATTCATCTGCCTCAGGCCATGCTATACACTGTAGTCTCAAAACAGCAGTCTCCACACTCCCTCTAAAACGTGAGATTTCTGAGAGCAGCTTAACATTTTTTGCAGTTCTTTTTGCCCATAGGGCATATCTCATTAGGGGTGGACTAATCAAATTACCGTGTTTAAAGTCACTTTAAATAGATTCTCTCTCTGGGGCTTTGCCACCAACCTAATTCCAGTTCAGCTGAGTTCATTTCTTTTATTTCGCTTTCAATTGTTAGGGAATGCTTTTTAAAATTTCAAGTTTTTTGGATGTAAAATATATACATGGCTCCAAAGTCAAATCTGAACACAAGATAAATTCAGAGAAGTCCAGTTTCTGCCCCCCACAGTTGCGCTGGCTTATCTAACTTTTCTTTCTTTAATATACGCAGTTTCAGATTTATGTATATGTGCACACACACAGTACGTGTGTGTGTTAAATGATAGAAACGTATGCACGTCCTTCCACGTGTTCTTGTTGAACAGAATGTCTCCACGATCTTGAGAGCTGCGTGTTCTCACCTGGTGCAGCTCCCAGCCTCCCAGCCCCTCGGCAGCTGTGAGCGGGTCAGCCTGTGCTTGCCTGCAGCTGGGTAACACGGCGGGTCTCAAACGCCGTCCCTCCGATCTCGTGTTACTCTCTTCCAGGCCATCGACAGCATCCACCAGGTGGGCGTGTACTGTCTGGCCCTGGTTCCTGCCAACACCTTGCCCAAGGCTCCTCTCGGAGGGATTCACATTTCTGAAACCAAGCAGCGTTTCCTGGAGGGGATGCTGCACCCATGTAATGTACTAATGTGCCCTCACACCTGTGTCACCAACCTTCCCAAACCTCGCCAGAAACAACCAGGTTAGTCCTATGCGGCAATAGCTGTCTGTTCAGTCTCCATATTGGTGGCAGCCACACTCGTGGCTCAGTGGTGCAGCCCGCGTGGGGCCTGCGTCTCTGGGGCTGGAGTTAGGAGCCAGACCTACATCAGGGCAGTCACCACCTCCTGCCTGCCTGGAGCCAAGCCACAGATGAGAAAACTTTACCGTGTCACCTGTGTGGTGGCTCTCAGCTGCCTGTTGGGACCCATCTCAGTCACTAAATGCAGGCGTGGCATCTGAGGCTTGGAGGGCGAGGGGGTGGCTCCCTGGGAGTAGAGGTGCGGCCCAAGAGCAGACGTGGAGCTCAGGGATGGAGAGAGAGTGCGGTGCTGGGGGCCGGCCCGCCAGGCTGCTCCCCACGGCTGACGCCTCAAGGGCCTCCACGAATGCTCTCCCTTCCCTGATTTCACACGTCTAGAAACTAAGTTCAAAGACCGGCTTGACTGTTATTTTTGTTCCTTTGGTTATGTAAATTTTTTTGTTTTTCTTTCACAGATTATTGAACACATAAGATACCATTAAATAAAATACATTTACTCAGGAAGGTTTAATTTCCTGTTTTATATGTAAAATGCAGGAAAACCGCGCAGTACCCTGAGCGTGTGGCTGTGCTGAGGTCCAGTCATACCCCCAGGTCTACGCCGGATGGCGAGTTTCTCAGTCTGGGGTTGCTTGTATTTGAGAGAGAGACGCTCTTCGCCGCTCACCATGACCCTTACGGCTGGCTTCCTGAGCGTCAGCACCTTAGTGAAGAGTGAAACGCCTCATTCAGATAGAAAGTGTTCCGGCAGTAAAGTCACAGGACGGTCCTGTCCCTGAGCCACCACCTGCTCACTCAGAATCCCCCGTTTTCCAGAGGTGGGGCCGGCCTCCATGATCGTGGGGAACCTGGTTGCCGGGAAGAGGATCGCACAGGCCTCGGGGAGGGAGCTGGCTCACCTGGAGGACAGCGACCAGGCCAGAAAGGTAACGGCCGGGGCCCGGGGGCGCGAGGAGGGCGCCCCTCGGCGAGGCTGCAGACTGAGGGGGCCTCTCTGCGCAGTTCTTGTTCCTACCCGACGTGCTGCAGTGGCGGGCACACACCACTCCCGACCACCCGCTCTTCCTGCTGCTCAACGCCAAGGTGAGCCAGCTCCCAGCGCTCTGTCCCCCAGGTCCTGCTCAGAGAGCGCTGTGCCCCCGGCCGCCTGCCCCACCTGCTGTTTTCTGTGTGGGGAGCTCAGCGGTCACCTCAGTTGGGCAGTGACATTTCTGGTAGAGCTAGTATTTTTTTTAAGATTTTATTTATTTATTTGACAGAGAGAGAGAGACAGCGAGAGAGGGAACACAAGCAGGGAGAGCGGGAGACGGAGAAGCAGGCTTCCCGCAGAGCAGGGAGCCCGATGCGGGGCTCGATCCCAGGACCCCGGGATCACGACCTGAGCCGAAGGCAGACGCTTAACGACTGAGCCACCCAGGCGCCCCTGGTAGAGCTAGTATTTAACAGGAAAATGCTCAGTTAGAAACAGCATGCTTGTAAAGACTACTAAGTGAGCTAAAAGGAAATGTTTATTTTGTAAAAATTAGGAATTTAGATTTTTTTGTTTATAGCTTTAACATGACAAATGCTGTTTATTGCCCTGATCCTGGGGTAGATTCAGAAATTCACTTCCATGATTTTGGCTACCTTTTGGTGTGATTACACTGTACCAGGAGTTCTCAGGACAGGAAGGAGGTGTGCCGTAACCCTCACATCCAACTTTGGGCCAGCAGACAAAATATAGAAACATGACAAGTTAAATAACCCTAAAAATCCCGCCTCACTCAGATGCATCTCACACAGGCCGTGAGAACGTTTGCACTTTGACACAGTAAAGGGCAGGTCGCTGTGGCCTTAGAAAATGCTGGTCTAGCTTTTGTTTCTGCTTATTACTGCCCACTGTTTCTTCATTTAAAAAATATTTATTGATACCTGTTAGGTTCTGGGTGTTAAGTAAGAGAAAAAGCGTCCTGCCCTCAGGACGCTTGCAGTGAGTCTTCCCTGCTGGAAAACTAGTCCGTAAAAGAGACTTTATGTTCTTTGTTCACCGTGTATCTGCAGATCTAGAACGGTGTTCAGAACATATTTATCATTGATTGAGTTCTAGAGCATGGAGACAGCCAATAATTAACAAGTGGCCCAGGTAAAATGAGCTCATGATGGGAAACCGAAGATGAGAACAACAGGGGTGTGGCCCCGAGTGCCAGGGGCTCCGAGGCCAGCTGCTGGCTGTTACCGCGAGGGTGTGGCTGGAAGCTGCGCGGGACTGAGCTGTAGGCGCGTGATGGTGATGGTGATGTGGTTCGTGGTTCTGAGTGGCTCCTGTGGGTTGCAGGGGGGTGAGTGTGGGGCGGCAGCTCAGAGAGGATGGGGGTGGGGGCCGCACAGAGGTGCCCACCAGGCATGTGTGGAGAGGTAGATGGTCTTTTTTTTTTTTAAAGATTTTATTTATTAGAGAGAGAGAGAGTGCACAAGCAGGGGGAGCGGCAGAGGGAGAGGGAGAAGCAGGGAGCCTGACGCGGGGCTCGATCCCAGGACCCCGAGATCATGACCTGAGCCGAAGGCAGACGCCTAACGACTGAGCTACCCAGGCGCCCCGAGGTAGATGGTCTTTAAAGCCAGGAGAGAGCTCAGGAGGAGCCCACAGAAGACTGGGCCTGGCCTTTTCCAAATCCCCTCAAAGTCACTAGTAAAACTTGGCATTTCTTTTGGTTTGTCAGCCTTCTTCGGTTTTCAATTGTCCTTGAGTCCCTGGGGACATGCTGGCCTCTGACCTAGGAGGAGGCCTGTGGCCGTGTAGGTGGCCGTCCAAGGGGGCTGGCAGGCTCTGCCGGCTCTGACGTTCTGCACCTCAGCTGGGCTCGGGGGAAGCAAGCCCAGCTCCCTTGCACGCAGCCTGGCTCTGCGGACAAGCACGTTGGCCTCCGTAAGGGAGAAGGGAGGGGTTCTGACTTTGGCTGGTCTGTTCTGGGGCATTATGTTTAGACCGAGCTGCACTTTTAATTTCCTTAAGAAGGACTAAAAGCTCTGAGGCCTGCCCGACTCCGGTCAGCCGAGGGAAGGAGGCCTTTGCTGGGAGCTGGTGTCCTGACGTCCTTGGCAGAGACGCGAGGCGAGCGAGCGAACGGGCCCATGCCACCCGCAATGCTCTGCGTCCGCCAGGTGCTCCAAGAGGGCAGGCCGCCGACCTGGGGGAGAGGAAGTTCAAACACCACAACCGTGTAGCTTCCGGATGTTTGTTTATTGTGCATTATTATGTGTATTTATATTCAGGATAATGGTTGTTTCTGGGGAAGGAGAGGATGAATTAAGGTTGGTATGCAGAGTGGTGATGATATGTTTTAGAAAACAAATTTAAACATTATGTGGCAAAATATTATTAGGTAAGGAGAACCTGGATATTTATTCTATTATTCTTTATAATGTTGTTATATTTAACAGATTTTATCAAAAAGGCCAAAAGAGTTTTCTTTTTTTTAATATAATTAAATTTAGTTAATTTATTTGAAAAATTTTTTTAGAGAGAGTGCGAGCGAGCACACGGGAGCGAGTTGGGGGAGGGACAGAGGGAGAGAGAGCACCTTAAGCAGGTGACATGCCCAGTGGAGCCTGACGTGGGGCTCGATCTCACGACCCTGAGATCGTGACCTGAACCGAAATCAAGAGTCAGACACTTGACCAACTGGGCGCCCTCAAGAGTTTTCTCTAACGGCTGAGCCTCGGGCTGTCCTGGACAAGCAGCATGCCCACTGCTGCAGGCTCTCTGGAGACCTGCACAGCTTGTCCCTTCCCTGCTGGAGAACCAGCCGCCTTTGGGAACCCTCCCTGAGATACAGACGACTACGTGTGTCCTGAGAACTGGCGCAGGCCCCAGCCCTAACCGCAGGAGGTCGGGGCACAGGGCACGAGCGGTGTGTGCTCAGGTGCCCGAGGAACAGACCCCGCCCCCAGCTCCGCGCTGATGCAGGGACCACCTTCCTAGGGCAGCGTCACCAGCACTGCAACCTGCGTCCAGCTGCACAAGAAGGCAGAGAGGGTGGCCGCCGCCCTGATGGAGAAGGCAAGACTGGGCACCGGGGACCACGTGGCTTTGGTCTACCCCCCAGGTAAGCACACGGGGCCCTCTGTTATTATAAAGCAGACACCCCGTAACCTACAGCCAGGTCGGAAAGTAGGTCTTGGCCAGGTGTCCTGGGTGTCCCCAGCACAAACTCCTCCACCCCCCCAAGCAGCCTCTACCCCTGAGCTCTGTAGCCCTCTCTTCCAGTTCCCCAGCGTCTGAGCACCCAGTGGGGCACCCTGCACGTCGGCTTAGTCTGCCAGTTTTCTTTACATCTGGTATGTTTTTAGTCTCTTTTAATCCACAGGCTCTCCCTCTCCCCCTCTTTGTAATTTATCGATGGAAGCTCTGGGTTGACTCTGCAGAGGCCCCCCAGCCCCGGAGCAAGCCAGCGGGTTCTCGGCTCCCGTCTTTCCTGCAGGTTGGCAGTGAGGTCCTGGCCCTGGGTCAGACTCGGGTTTGGTGCCTTGGCCGACTCCAGGTGGTGTTGAATTATCTCATCAGGGACCCATGTTGGCTTGTGTCTCCTTCTGTGGTGTTAGCATCCACTGTTGATGCTTCAGAGTTCATTCATTCATTCATTCTTCAGGGTCACGAAACAGTGATAGTCTCATTCTGTCATTTCCTGTTTTCATTTATTGACCATAAAACTAACACACAGAAACTTCCTTCATCTAGCATTTGGCTCCCCAGTGGTGGAATCCCTACGTGCTGATGCTTTCCTTCTGTCGGTCCTGTGTATTCCTGTCACACTCCAGTGGATCTAGAAATACATACATCACTGTGAACTCCTGGACTGAAATGACTTTGTTGGGTTTCAGTCCTTTGCAGTTAGTTTCTTTGTCAAAGCTCAGGTCATCCCACGTTCGGCCAATAGGAGCCCCTCCCGGCTGGTCTCACGCGACCACAGTCTGCTGCAGGCTCGCGTCCTGCCCGTCCCACCCCAGATCTAGAGCCAGCCATCCCTCCATGGAGACCCCAGTGCCCCCAGAACAAAACCTGGGCCTGAGGGATGCGCATTTCTTCCAGATTGACTGCTGTTTATTGGCCTTTCAGCGAGCAGATCTAGGTATTACAAATAAATGCAATTGTATCTCTTAGAGAGGCAGTACCTTATGAGTTTATCCTGTCACGTCCCATTTAATTCAGGACTAAACCCCTCCTACCTTGTATCTCCCATTTTCCATACCGAGGATCCTGGTTCTTCAGAACAGGGAGATGATGGAATTCACATAGCCCATAATCACTCAGTCACTCAAACCTGCATCACATGCAGCGTCCCCAGAATAACAGCACAAATACTGTAACCACCTAAATGAAGTTTGGAAACAGTTTAAAATTTTTGCACATGCTTTTCTGCATCTCCACCGCCCGCCCGCCCCCCCCCCCACAACCTTGTTGCTGTCTTGTGTCTGCGTTATCAGAGGGATGGATGGACGGCCCTTACAAATCCAGCCTCTTGGCTTCTCCTCCTTTGCTTTCAGTTCCCCCTGGAGCTGTCTGTCTCCTGGTCATGCAGGTTTCTGACACTCCTTCTCTAACTGGTTTCTCAGGAAGCAATCCTAAGACCAGTGGTCTCCTGAGTTCTTGGTTGTTGATAATGGTTTGTACACTTTGTGATTGTTAAAGAACAAAATCCAATGGGGTAAATTTTGAAGGTCTGATTGGCTTTCTCTGGTGACCCCTAACCCGGCCGCCTGCAGCGTAGCGGGCAGAAAGGAGCCCCGGGGAGCCGCACAGATGAGAGACGTTCATGGGCAGGAGGGAACGGGACGAGGACGTGATCCCGGGAAAACTCGGGTTAGTTGGACAAGGTCACTCTCCTTCAGGGGACCGTGGGGTCTGCCAGACAGAGGACCTCGCTCGTGCCGACCAGGTGACTCCTGATGGACGCTGAACTCCCCTTTCTGGGAGAAGCCGTAGGTGTAATTAGGTTAAGCCTCGGTTTGGTGACCTGGGGCTCCGCCTGCTCTATCCGATCCGGCCCCTGGTCTGGAGGTGCCCCTTCTGTGAGTTTGTTGTTTGCCTGTTAGTGGGTCTGGCACACAGGGCCGTGCACTCGGTGTCTCTCCCTCTTGTGGCGACTCACGCCTTCGCTGGAGCAGGACGCCTGGGTCTGTTTCTCACGGTCGTATCTGTGCTTCTCCAGTCTCGCAGGTCAGAGTCCAGCTCTTCTTCCCCGCTTGTGAGTCATCTGGCCTAGAGTCTTGCAGGCTTCCCTTTTCAACTCAGCGTCCAGGAAAGCATGGGGCTGCGCCCAGGGGTGGGTCCTGCTCACTGTCTTGCCTGTTTAATCTTGGGGTTCTCATCTTCATCTCAGGAAAATATTCTTTCTCCTGCCTGCTTTTCCTCCCTTTTTCCTGCACCTGGCACTCTTCTGACTTGTGGCTTGGATCTATCCTCCCCGTCGGGTGCCTTCTCTCGAGTGTGCTCTGTGCTTCATCTCTGGGCCACTTGTCCAGGCCCCTTTTCAGCATCTCTGGGGTACCGTGGGTTGCATTCAGCACTTCTCCATGTGGGACTGCTGCTGCTGGTGGGAGCGGGGAGCCTCTTTCTTGGGGGACTGCCACGGAGTGCAGACGTCTCCCCTTCCTGGGGCCTGGGGCAGGGTGGCAGCCTAGTCTCTTTCTTGGCACACATACATGGTAACTCAAATACTCCCAAAACTCCCACTGGCATCACATTTTTTTCTCCTCCTTCCATTCCCTGTGATGTGGTTTGGACTGTTGGGGTCCAGAGCCGATGGCCAAGAAGGAATTCTTGAGACGTCTTTGGTGCAAAAAGGTGGTTTTATTAAAGCCCGGGGATGGGACCGGGGGGACAGGACCCATGGGCAGAAGGACCTGCTGCACCGGGGTTGTGAGGGGTGGCTGATCATATGCTTGGGAGTTGGGGGAGGGAAGGAAAAGGGAGGTGTCCAAAAGGACTTGGATCTGCTGAAGAAGACTCACAGGATACCAGAGGCCTGGCTCTTGTCAAGCTAGGGTTGTTTTTCCCTGTTAACAAGACATCAACATTAAGACAGGATCTTCCTGGAGGAATGTTACACTCTGCCCGCCTCGAGTATTCGTCAACGGGCTACAGGTTATAAGGACATTTACTTTTATCTACATTTCCTTCTGCCTCTGTTTCCCACATCACCTGGGCTGTGAGGGTACTTTTCCCTAGGGTGAGCTCAGTCCCCACTCTTCAAGTACCCCTGGGTTCCAGACGTAAGGCAAGCTTCACCCTGACTGAGAGGGGCAGAGACATGGCTGAGCTGGAGCTCCCTGGCCACGAGCTGTCCACACCGGCTGCAGTGGTGCCGAGCCCCGGGCTCAGGGCTGGGGCTGGAAGCACGCACAGCACGCGGGAGCGCGCCCACAGGGAATGTGCCCACAGGGAGCGCGCCCTCAGGGAACGTGCCCGCAGGGAACGCGCCCGCAGGGAATGTGCCCACAGGGAATGTGCCCACAGGGAGCGTGCCCGCAGGGAGCGTGTACAGGGAACGCGCCCGCCGGGAATGTGCCCCAGGGAGCGCGCCCACGGGGAGCGCGCCCACAGGGAATGTGCCCACAGGGAGCGCGCCCGCAGGGAACGCGCCCGCAGGGAA